CTTAATTCACTAAAGAACTTAACATTTAATTTGATTAATTATAATTAGGATACAAAACTTAACTCTTATTCGCATGTGTTTATAATTTTATTTGTGTATTCTTTACAAGTGTGTGTGTGTGTGTGTGTGTGGGTTATTCCTCAGGGGAGAGGACTAGGTTTAGGAAGTCGAACCCTGTGAATACAGGGTGAGGAAGATGCGGAGGAGGCGCGACGTATTCTATGGTGGTGGCTTCGAAGTTGACGGATATGTTGTCGAACTCCGGATTGTTATGTGGGAGTTCCTCTACTGGAAGAGGGTGGAAATGGACAGGCGAAGGGGGTCTGTACTCCAGGAGCTCTTCAAAAATTGGAGAGATAGACCTGGGAGTAGGAAGTGGTGAAAAATCAAGCACGGGAAAGGATTGAGGAGATTGTTGAGGAGATTCCTGAGGAATCGATGGTAATACAGGAGGTGGGTCGGTTTGCGTGTGTGTGCTTGTACGAGAGTTATTACATGGGATGTGTCGCCTAATTCTAACGGGTCTTACGGTGACCCTCGCCGCGTATCTAATGTATGGTGGGAGAAATATGGCTAGGCAGAGAGCAAATGCCGAGAGGTCCAAACGGTTCCGACGATTGTTGGGTCGCGGCGAATGTTCAGTTCTCACTGATAAATAACACAAAAAATTTTAAACGAAGTAGGGACGGAGCACATAATAAGAATAAAGAGAATACTAATGAGAGGAAAAACAAATGAACTAACTTACTCGTTGCAAGATAGTTTTGGATCGGGTTGAATATGTTCGGTGGTTCTGAGCAAGCGCCCCGTTGAGGGATGGTGTTGTATAGATGTCGGACCCTTTTGTAAACGTGTGGACACCCTGCTGCGGGATGGTGTTGTCAGGGTGATGGACCCTCTACTTGAGATGCACCACTTGGTCGCGACAAAGTATCGACTTTTTTAATTCGCGGTCCGAACTACTCGAAAAACTGTGTGAAGAACTTGGCAAAAACTGCTTGAATAATTGTGTGTAATTGCGTTTGGAGCCACCAAAACACGGGTTTTTATACCCTTTCCTTGGGGTGGATCCATTTGGAAAATCTTAGGTTTTTGAAGCGGGGATCGAATAGGAATTAATCTTGTGAGAAGATTTTTAATGTGGGGAGGGTGGCGTCATTTTTAGCTAATAGGATTAAGTTTAGGTAATTAGATTACTTGGAATGGGAGTAGGAAAAAAGGGGCCCTAACGAATAAGGAATAGCGTCGTTTCGGGTCCATATGCAATGGGGGTAGGTTTCTGAGGTGGCGTAACCCGGTTGGTGTTAATTAGTATACAGTGGGGTGCATCTCAGTGTCTTAAGATCTAGGTGGGCGTAGTCTTTAGACCGTACGACGGAAGGGTGGTCTATAGAGGTGCTTGCCCCGATTCCTGGCTTTCGGATTGGAGGGTTGAGAATCGGTATATGAGTTCGTGAGGCCTTGGGTCACTGATCTAATAAATTTGACAGTTTACGACTGTTGCGTGGCCCTGGGGTCGCGTGGAGAGTGCGATTAATCTCGATAAATGCTACACAGCAGAATCGCGCTTCTTGCGTTTCATGACGGCGCAGCGCGACCGCGCGCTTTCTTCTGTTTTATATCAAAAGCGAAGCAGTGCGTAATTTTAAAATAAATTTTGATTTAATATAGTAAAGCATTTGTTTTAAGTGTATCTTTACTGCACAGTGGCACTGTTGTTAAGAAGTGACTGTTAGTAACAGCTTATTGTTAGACAAGAGATCAGTACGATATTATTCGTTCTTTAACAACTTATAGCGAACAAATAGTGAAGTGCATAATTTTTATCATGCCTCCCGTTCGTGGCAGACCGGAAAAAGTTCATCCCGAGAAAATGAAAAAAGCAATATTAAAATATAAAGATATTGTGAAAAAAATAATAATATCGTATTAATTATTAATTGCAATTAGGGATGGGCGATACAATATCGATATTTAAAATATCGATTTTTTTAGACTTTATTATCGATATTTTGTATCGATATTTTTTGTTTTGATATTAGCATGCATCGATATTTCAACAGAAATATCGAATCTCCGATATTATAGCACGTATTACTGTGTCCTGTGTGCAGAAGCCATTATGAAACTAAGAATACTTGACTATGTTTGGTCGATTTGCTAATGACTTTGGGCCTATCCAGACAAACTTGCATAGTCGCATAACATATGCATAAGGAAATTGATTGGTCCATAAGCAAATGCATAAGAAAATAAACCAATTCATCCCGCAGAGGGCTACTGTCAAAATTTCAGACAAATGCGTTCATTAGTTTCTTTATTTTGGTCGTATAAAGCAATCAACTTTTGGTTTTCTTTAAAAATAGATAAATCAATTTTCTTATGCATATGTTTATACGACTATACAAGTTTGTCTGAATAGACCCTTACGGTTACGACTAAAATTTTTGTACGTACGTATGGCCTTTACTACACCTATTGTAGATCCGGGCTAATGAATGACGCAATGCGTGACGTGCTCAGTGCTCAGTGCTCAGTAGGAATTTACTCATGACCTTAATTTTTCCACGTGACATATCTCATTGTCGTGATCTATTCACAGTTCTGTCACATATATATTAATTATTAATATATAGTCACAAATAGTAAAAAATAGAGACAAGTAGTAGTACAAAGAGGTACGTACTTTTTTATTATTTATTTACGTATTTACGTATTATGTATCATGATACCCAAACACAGAACATTGCAGTAACGTTGCGACGATATTGCAATATTGTAGCAATATTATACCAATATTGCAACATTGCCGCAATATTGTTGCAATATTCTGTGTTTGCTGGGTATTTTGCGGTAAGTATAATTTAAGAAAAAAATAGTTAAATAATTCTCACTTCTTTTAAAATGCATGTTTGTTTGATTGGATTAGTTAAAATTTGCACTTTCTATTTACTATTTGTATATAGTCCAGTATATAATGATTACTATATGGTAATCTTAATATTTTTCTGAATTTTACAGATATAATATATGCATATGCATGTACATTATATTGCTATATATATTGCTATATTAAACTGGGTGCTTGAAAAGGAATCCTCAAAGGCTTTATTTTACTTTTCCTACGTTGCTTTCTATTCTTATGTTTTCACTTGTTTTATAACAGTAATTATCTCATACGTTATCCTATTCCTTATTTGAATTATTGAATTATTTTAGCGTTATTTTTCATCATTTAAATATTATTTCTGCCTGTTTTTTTAGTGCCGCCGTCTAGAAGTGAATATTGGAAATATTTCATTCGAACCAATGAAGGTAGCAAATGTAATATTTGCCAAAAGATTATAAAAAATTCAGGAAATACAACCAATTTACGTTTTCATTTAACTCGAGCACATCCTAAACTTCAGTTAAAGCTTCAAATGAAGAAGCTGATAGACGAAGCTGATATAATAGACTCTACAGACTCTACAGAATCCTCAATCAAAACAGAGAAAAATTATAGTAATAAATGTCGAATTTTGTATAGAAAATTAATTACATTAAGTTTATTATAATATAATGTAAAATAATATTACTAATGCATTTTGTATGTTATGCATTTCAGACAGAAGATAAAATTGATGTAGACGATAATTCTAATTTAACAGTGAAATCTTCATCTAGTTCTTCGGTTTTATCAGTCACGTCACAGTCGCAATCAGAGACATTTGTGTCATTACCAATTGTGAAAAAGAAACAAATCACACTTGATTCTACTTTTCAAAACCAAAAATCATTTTATGGTATTTATATTTACAAGTTTATCATCTAAAGTTTATAAGTAGCCTTTGTAGTAATTTATTGAATATTTCAAAACAATATGTCACTACAAAATTAATTATTTTACTTCATATTTTTTTCTTAATTGTAGATGGAGGAACAAAAGCGGCTGAATTCACTAATAATCTCATCTTTATGATTGCAAAAGATAATTTGCCATTTGCAACTGTAGAAAAGCAAGGATTTAAAACTTTTATGAAAATAGTTGCACCGTTATACAAGATTCCTAGTCGGAAAAAAATTACGAGTCTCATAGAAGAAAAATACGAATTTTTATCGGGTATGATAAAAACTCAATTTTTAAACATTAAAAATTTATGTTTAACAACCGACTATTTGGACAGACACAATAAATACTAAAAAGTTTTTTTAGGTTTTAACAGCTCATTATATATTAAAAGAAACATATAAAACTGTAACTATTGGCGTTACTGAATTAAATGATCGACATACTTCTGACAATATAAAAATGTGGTTGTTAAATATAATACGTGAATGGAACATAGACACAGAAAATATTATTATTGTTGTATCCGATAATGCAGCCAATATGAAAAAGGCAATTACAGAAGCGTTTGGTACTGAAAAACATTTAGCATGTTTTGCACACACTTTGAATTTAATTCCGTCGAACATTATTAAAAATGATGGTACTGTTAATGAATTCTGTAAAAAGGTTAAAAATATTATTACGTATTTTAAACATTCTGTGGTTGCTGCAGATGAATTGAGAGCTCAATCAACTCTCAAATTAATACAAAGTGTCGAAACTCGATGGAATTCGACTTACGACATGCTTGAACGATTTATTGAATTGGCAGATAAAATAAGTAGTATTCTTCTGAAGCAACCTACAGCACCGATAATGTTGACTGCATTCGAATTGCAAGCTGCAAAAGATTTGTCAATTATTAAACCGTTTAACGAAGCCACTAAAATTATATGCGGTGAACATTATCTTACTGGCAGCAAAGTGATTCCGATTATTAATACGCTAAAAACAATTACATATGCTTGCACCAAATACTGAAATAGGCATTCACTTTAAACATGAGTTACAACGTCAGTTCTCAAAAAGATTTAATGATATTGAAAAAAATCACACATTGGCAATATCAACCATATTGGATCCTCGATTCAAGAATATTAATTTTTCTGATGAAATTGCGTGCGCTTATTCTATCAATAAAATTACACAAATGATAAACATAAATACAAAAGAATCAGATACATGCGATTATCAAAACGCGCAAAATGATTCGATGGAAACTGATAATTTTTGGATATATCATCAGTATTTAATTAATAAATCCAAGCATATGTCAAAAAATAATGATTCTACAATAGCAGATGAACTTAAATATTATTTGAATCAACCACCAATAAAAATGGATGACAATCCACTACAATATTGGCTAATAAACATGCATTCTGGATTAAAAGATATAGCATTAAAATATTTAAGTATAATTGCGACCTCCGTTCCAAGTGAACGATTATTTTCACGGGCTGGAAATATTATTACCGAAGATAGAAATCGTATAACAAGTGAACATTTACAGCAGTTATTATTTTTAAACTCTCTTTCTCTGGAAGATTGGTTATTATAAGTAGCATAACTGTTTTATGTAAAATATTTATATATGTATTGTATAATAAAAAAATGTAAATATATTTAATTGGAAATTATTATTAAGCCTGTATTAGACTATGCATTGAAAATTGAGATTAAAGATCGAAGATTAGAAATTTGACCAATCGAGAAGAAGCAAACAAATATTACTTCTTTCTAATTGGTCAAATTTCCGAATCTTCAATCTTTAATCTCAATCTTCAATACGTATTTGATACGGGCTTTATATATTCAATTGAAAATAGTTGATAATATCGATATCACCAATATCGATATATCCCATTTGATATTTTGATATATCGATATTTTATTTACGATACATATTGATACAAAATATCGATATTTTCTATTGTATCGCCCATCCCTAGCCCACAGTTCATCCAGGGCGCCCCCCTCCGCTCTCTGTGGTTTCCTCAAATCTTTCGGCCGTTAACGTGTCGATGAGTCGAGGTTCCCGGAAGAGACTGGTTAGGCTGGCCGGGCCATACTCCGGTCCTTCCGGATGCAGCATCTTCGGGGTCCCTGAAGCCGTCTGCAGCCGGGCGAGGTCCGCTGCTGCGTGTTTCTGCGTTTCTTAGACTCTGTGGCTGAAACCAAAGCGGAGTTAGATAGGGCTTGGATGGCGGAGGCGACGGGATCGCGGTACCTGACCTTATGCCGTGGGGTCACTGACGCGTGACACCCGTCGATGATCCCTCGGCGTCCGGTCT